CCCCCCCCCCCTTTTAACCCCTTACAACCCCTTTTTCGCGATAAAAAGTAGCCTATGTTTTATCTCGGGGTCTAGAATATCTCCAAATTTCATTCAAATCCGTTCAGTAGTTTTGGCGTGAAAGAGTAGCAGACAGACAGACAGACAGAGTTACTTTCGCATTTATAATATTAGTTAGGATTGTTTTTCATTTGACATTTCTTTTTTTAGTTCCTTGACATTAGTTAATTTATTTAATTTACTTTTACCATTGTTAGTGCAAGGCCCGTGCGAAACTTTGCCTCGCCATTTTCTCTTCTAATTAACCCATATTCTGACAGTTAGTGGTTGTGCGACGGATCAGTCAGCCTCACCTGTTAATTGAGCTGACTGTAAACCGACACACGCATACGTTGCGTTTGAGCTCTGTTATGGTTCTTTCCTCAAAAGGCCACTACAGAATGAACTTGCACGGTTCTCACACATAATCTGTTATACATATTGTCTGGACTTTCAAAGAGACGGACTTCTGAGTTGGTTTCGGCATTTCTTCTCCGAATAGTCAGTTAGGAAATATCGGCCTCATCGTTCGCTTGATAAAATTGACATGTAGAAGTGCTTTCTTGTAGCCTATTTGCAGAAATAAATTCACTTGTTTCAGCAGAAATAAATATATTATGGAAAAAGCATATTACTGATTAATCGTTTCAACAGGAATTCATTGCAAACAAATTATTAAATGTTTCGTTAAACTAGTTCATTGTAAACAGACTGTTATGTTTTTATCTTATCTAATATTATAAATGCGAAAGTTTGTGAGTACGATAATCACGTCAATACGGCTAAAGAGATCAGGGTACAATTTGGTGCGAGGATAGATTATTAGCCCTTAAGGTTATTTTATTTTTTAATCATTTGACTGGATTTAGGTGTTGCATTGTTTTGATACAATCGAACCATAAAACTATGTAACTAGAGAATTGTATTGTAAACCCGATTGAAAAAGAGTAACCTATGGAATTTCTTGCTCGTTCTTCTCCATAGGAATCTACACCTTGGATTGAGTAACTAGCTTCACTTCAAAATTTTTGTTGTTGACATTCAAAAGTGCCTTCCTGGTCTAATTGAAATAAATGATTTTGTCTTGACTTGGACTTTAATTAGTGTGGAATAACCACAGAACATAATAAACCTTCTTTATACATATGTTCTGTGGGAATAACACATTGTCTACTTTGTATACCACGTGAACGCGAGCGACGCCGCGGAAGAATAGAAATAAAGTTCTTCTTTATACCCAACATACATACCGTAACGACAAATAAGTGCACTGCGTGTGCTTATTATTGTCTTACACGCAAAGTTTAAGGCATAAAACAAATAAAACTAAGGCATGAACATGTCGTGAAATGCAATGAGACTACAGTGCCAAATATATAATAAAAGTATTATCTGACTTATCAGACTGTAGGCCGACTTATATGATAAGAAAATAAATTGTTTTAGGCTGATTCGACATTTTATTTTTCGTTGTCGTTGAATCAATTTGTTTAATCGGTTATAATATTATAAACAGTGTAAGCGTGTCAGGAAAGTGAATAATAATAAAAATGTGGACACGAACAAGTTTTGTATGGAATTTTTTCAAAACAAGTGAAGATCATCCAGAGAAGGCCCAGTGCTTATATTGTAAAAAGACATACCGCGACAATTCCCACGCTGCTATGAAGCAACACATAACGGATTTTCACAATACCGAGTACGTTTCGTTTATGGATAGGAAAAAAAGAGAAGCGCTTGAAGGTAAAATATATTATTAACTAAATTCATCATAATATATATCATAATCATCATATATGTGCCCATTGCTGAACAAATGCCTCTTCTCATTCGAAAATTTTGAGTGCATATTCGCGGATATTAAAATAATAAAAATAATCTCCCAATATATTTATATATAGAACAATTTCCCCAAGGATTTAATTGCTTGAGCAATGATATCATACATTGGCAAAATGCAGAATTTAATAACCCTGTACGTCAAACGAACATTGTAGAAACACAAAAGGATAACAACGAACAGGACAACACGAGACATAGCAATAACACAATTCCTGTTCAGAACAAAACCGAAGTCCGCAAAGACGATCCTGAAGCTGCAAAGCGTAATTCACATACCAAAAAAGTAGAGGCGGAAGAGGGATTAGATCTGCGCATTATCATCTGGAACGCCAATGGGCTGACCGACCGACGAGAAGAACTTGAGTAATTTATGAACACAGAGAGTATTGATATTGCTCTGATATCTGAAACAAAATTGAAACCCAAATCACAAGTAACTTTTCTCAACTCCACAATCCATAGAACTGATCATCCTTCTGGAAATTCTCAGGGTGGGACGGCAGTAGTTCTAAAAAATCACAGAAAGCATTACCTTCTAGAACCATACAAAACAGAAAAGATTCAGGCAACATCAATTAAACTATTCTGCAAAAATTCTGTAACGACTCTTGCCGCAATCTACTGTCCCCCGAGTCACAAAATTGATACTGAAGAATTCAAGTTGTTTTTTGACCAACTGGGTACCGTATTTATCTGCGGAGGAGACTGGAACTCCAAGCATACCTTCTGGGGATCAAGGTTGACAAACCGTAGAGGTAAAAATCTTTACAAGGCCATTCTGGACCTCGATCTTGAATATATCTCTCATGGAGAACCCACATACTGGCCAGCAGATTTAAAAAAAAATCCAGATCTACTAGACTTTTACATTTTGAGGAACTTTGGCGTAAATTATTTAGAGATTGAAAATTGTCGACCCCTGTCATCAGATCATATTCCAGTAATTTTAAATATTTTCTCCAAGCCACTCCCGCACTGCACAAGTCACATTAGAGGAGGTAATTACTACATGATATTTCTTTCAATTTACAACACATACATCACGGATTATTACAGATGGTAATATAATTGATATTTTAGAGCCTTGTGGTAGAGGTTCTCAATGTGTCAGAAAGAAATTATAGATACCATCAAACTCTTTGATGATCTTGGTATAACTCTGTACGTATGTATGTATAACCCTGCGCGGATGTACCTCGTACAACACATCGAGTAAAAGTCTTACGAAATAAGGTCGCACTCCTTACCTCTCTGAATTAATTATTTTTATCATTGTTTTACGTTTATCATTAAATATTGAATTCTTATGAAGTTGGCCTGCTGAATAACTGGGCTCCCGGAAATAGTCGCTCAAATTGCAACAACGATGCTCACTAGCCACCTTATGCCTAACCCTGTGACTTTTGAATTATAAATTTTCATTTAATTTTTGTTTCAGATGACCATCCAACCCAAACGCGATATGAGGGACAACAACTTCGCCCCGGAGCATCCGGCAACTCTTCCCGCCAAGGTGACCTGCGGGAATATAATTATCTATTGTTATATTGTGACACTTTTAAAAATCAAACGTTTGTTTTTCTTTCAGATGAAACTTCAAATTCTGAAAATAGTTACAAAAGAATAAGTAAACTTATTGTAAGAATGATAGTGCTTCAAAATTTACCTTGTACCTTCGTTGATGGAGGTGGATTCCGCGACCTTCTAAAAGATTTAGCACCAAAATATAATCTGGAAAAAAGCGAAGTTTTCAAAACCTATATGGTCGATATTTACGACCAAATGAAAATAAAAGTTAAGCGAGAAATTATAAAATTTCCTAATTTATCAATTACTGCTCACATTAGGAAAGATTGCAAGTCAAACAAATTCGTAATATTGTTGGTTAGCCATGGAATAACCGAAACATTTAAACGGTCTTCAATATTATTAAAATGCTCTATTATTGACAACATTACTACTGAAGATGAAGTTGGCAAAATGATTAACACCATAGCTTATGAGCTGGATTTTCCGATTGAAAGAGTGCATTGCATGATTCGAGATGAGAGTTCTTCTTCACAAAGAGGTACGCAATCAGTGTTATTGATGCAAGATTTGGATTGTGCTGTTCACAAAATACAAAATATTATACGAGAAACATTTCTTTCTCAAGAAAACGTTACCAATATACCAACAAATATTACAAATAATTTTCCTAACGCTCTCAATGAACTAGAGAAAATATTGAATAAACTAAACGTGAATGAAACTGGGTTTGTAGATATTATAAAAAAATTTTGTTTCATTTTTACTATTGGGACAACGGTGGTCGTTAAATATGGGAACTTTGACACACATTTGGAAAATCAGATGGAACAGAGTGCTTATAATGTGGTAAAATTACTACTTGACTTTATTAATTGTGAACGCTCCCAGCAAAACTTGTCGTCAGTAATACCAACCTTTAAGCAAATTACGGAAAGTCTGGAAGAGTATTTAAATGTATCACCAGAATCAAATGCTATTAAAGCAGCTGTTTCAAGTCTAAAAACAGGATTTGAAACGGCATTGTCTTCGTTGGAAAATAATAAATTGTACGCCATTGCAACCTTTTTAGACCCTCATTATAAGAATCATTTTTCACGAGAGGTGAAGATAAAAATTTGTAGAGATTTATCAACTATGACTAATGTGCAAAGCACAGAGAGCCATAGAACAGTGGATAGCTTTGAAGTGGTTCCTCCAAAACGGACTTGCATCCGGTTAAACGATTTGGTAAATGATACATTCAAAATCAAAGAAAGCGACAATACTAGTGATCTACGCAAGGAAATTAATGATTACGGAAATATAGGAGCATTGAATGTGGATGAAGATCCACTCGAGTGGTGGAAGAATAATGGTGAACAGTTTAAAAGCCTCTCCAAGTTTGCTCGCAGGTTTTTGTCACCTCCAGCAGTGAGTGTGATCAGTGAGCAACTGTTTGAAGGGGATGGAAGCTTGGAACTAACACTGAACAAAGAGGAGGATGCAAAGTTACTGTTCGTAAAACATAATGCAGAAATGTTTGGGTTTGATTTTTAAATTGTGCAAATTATAAATAGATATTGGAATATGGTGATGGTTTTTTAAGAATGTTATGTGCCACACATTAAGTTTTGTATGACGATGGTTAGATATAACCTTTGTCTACTTTGACATTCCAACACAAGTGTACATTCCAATTCAGACACATGTGTCAATAATATTGTAATACTTATGTGTAGCTACTACTTGTGTGTAGTATAAGTTCCTTGTTAAATAAATCACACTTTAGTGTTAGGTATTCAATGTTTATTTATCTCTGTATTTATTACCTTACTAGCTTCTGTCAGCATTCGCCCGCGTCCCCGAGGATAAAAAGTAGCCTATGGTTTAATCTATACCATAATATATCTCGAAATTTAATCACGATATCTTCAGCATTTTTTATGTGACTTAGTAACAAACATAGACTAACACATGAACTCACAAATGTTTTGCAATTCTCCAAGGCCGCCGTCATGATGGTGGCCTCCGCTCCTCCGCTGTGTTCAGGAGGGCGACTCTTGCCTGCTGGGACTTCTTCTCCGCCACCCTAGGGAGCTCCTCCTGAAAGGCCTAGCGGTGTCCTCGTATCCGCGCTTACTCTCGGAGCAGTGCTCGCCCTCCGACATCTCCATGGTGGAGGATTCCGAGATGGTAGGGCTCTTTTGAGCGCTCTCTCTGCAGCCAATTGCTCGGCTGTCTCAGAGCAGGCAGCGGTTCCTGGTCTCTAGCGTCTGCTGCCCTTGCCGCCCCTACCCCGCACCGCCGTGGGGATCTTAAGGAGAGGAGGCGCCTCCTGCGCGCTGGAGGACGGGGACACAATGTTCTCCTCCAGCCTGACACGCTTACACGAGCTCACGTTCAACTGCTCCGCTAGTGATGTGTCGGATTCAGAGTCCGGCCCCATCCGAATTGCAGCCCGTGTGTGAGGCTCGCTGGACAACTTCAGCGCCTCATCACGAGTTCCAGAGCCACTTATGCTTCCCTTGACCGTCACTGCAGGCGAGCCGAGCTCACCCGGACTCTCCTCCTTCGATAGTGTTTTTTTATTTAGATTAATTTTCTCCATAAAGTTCCCACGAGTATGGGGGGGATATTAGGTCTACCCAGGCAGTGTCCCCTGCACCTGGGTAAGTGTTCATTTGTTTCCCAACTTGAGGTTCCACTGGTCCCCTAGCTGGGGGTGCGCTCATGACTGACACTACTCCTCAGCCATGCATACCCTCGCCGCGCACCAGAACTTGGTATTGGAGGATTTTTTTTTCCTATCCTTAGTTCGTATTTCATAGTACAAAGTACAAGGATTGTGAAGTCGTTTATATGTATAGTCTATGGTGAAGACCGAACTAAAAAATGTGATAACATATAATCTCACTTCAAAAGTCATTATCTACTAGTAAGTGGTAGGTATTAAATAAATAAGTTTACTGTGTATTAATTTTAATTACTTTTATAGTAGAGGTATATATTAGTTGAATAATAATTGATTAAGTGATTAATTAATTATTTATTATTTAAGTTTATACTTAGTTAGATTTAATTAAAACAAAAAATAATATTAGTTGACTATTAAAAGCATAATAATTTTTCTTATTTATTGCGTGCAGGAACTTGCATCAAAACTAGGGAGCGATTTGGCTGCCACTGCCTTCCTAGTTCCTATGCGATTCATTCCAATTTCAAACCCAACTGGGAGTCGGGAGCTGACAAACTAGGGAGCGATTTGGCTGCCAGTGCCTTCCTAGTTCCTATGCGATTCATTACAATTCCACCTCCAACTGGGAGTCGGGAGCTAAAAGAGCGAACTCGTTCGTTTAGGAGCGGCGAACTGATCTGAGTGATCTTAGTCGCGAACTATTAAGCACAAGACTACAAGTTCGCGTAAAAATCGTATTTTTTCAATTTAAATTAATATCAAATAACGATAAACTGTAGTTACAGTTTATAACTTATATATTTGTTATTTATTACTTGTATATTCTATTACTGGTTAAAGTTAGTAATCTTATTTACAACAATTGCATCGTATTTACAGTTATTTACACACTCCCTACCTACTTATCTACAAAACTGTTGCACAAGTCCACCTTCGCGTTGCACACAGATGAAGGCACGCTTCGTAATATGTCATATCACATTATTTAATGTGTCCGTTTCACTTTTATTTGCCTAAATGCGCGTTTGATTATACGTGCGCGTATCCTCGACACTGAAACTAACGTCCGGGCGGGCGGGAGCTGAGCTACTGACGGGTGGGCGGCCGGTTGACCAGCGCGTGCGAAGAGTGCAGGTGAGGGTACGGTCGCGCGGGGGTGTGCATCGTGCTCCTAGCCGCCAAGCCACCTGTATCATGATGTATAGAATGGCAACAGTGTGTGACGGGGCAGCGCTCGCGTTTTGTGAATTGAATGAATTCGGTGCAGTGCGGCAACACGGAATGGTTTTATGCCAATAAATCAATCAAATTAATACATATTTTTTTGTATGAAAAAATAAAT